GCTATAATTATTAGGTCATTTTTTCTCCTCTTTAATTTCTGTCCATTGGTACTAGATGTACCAAGCTGAATAAGCCTAGCTCCTCTTCTACCTGATAGTAATTCAAATATTTGAAAGGTTCTAGATCTTTAAATATGCACATTTCCTTCAATCAGCCTTCATGTGCTGTGATTTTGAGTCCCTTCATTACCTGGTTACCTTCCTAGACATGGTCTAGCTTTTCAACATCTTCCATATTCATTCATTCCTATGTTAATTTTGAATATTCCACAGGCATCTATTGTCTATTATAGACATAACACTTTTAAAAAGGAAGCCTATGAGAACTTCTTGAACAAAGTAAGAAAAGATGTTCAAACATGAAACAACTGAAATTTCTTTATTCTTTATGCCGCATTTGAAGAAAAACGTAGACTTGAATTGGTGGCAAAGAGGAATAGGGAGAACTTAAAACTAAATATGCTATCTAAAAAAAATGTAATTTCAAAATATCTGCGTAGGTATAGATTTGCAGAATGCTTTAGTAAATAATCTCTCTCTGTCTCTCTGTCTCTGTCTCTCTGTCTTCTGTCTGTCACATTCTCTCTCTCTGTCTCTCTCTCTCTGTCTCTCTGTCTTCTGTCTGTCACATTCTCTCTCTCTGTCTCTCTCTCTCTGTCTCTCTCTCTCTCTGTCTGTCTCTCTCTCTCTCTCCCCACACACCCCGATGCCAAACATCTTTTAGCAAATTACATGATATGACTCTATAATAGAAAAAGTCTAGGGAGTCAAGGATAGCTTCAGGATACTCAGAGTTCAAAGGATATGTGTCATCAGCATGAAGAGAGGCTGGATAACGACCATCTACTCTCTTGCAAAACAAAATTCAGAGACAGTAGTGGCAGGTGCAAGAAATGGTAATGCCTGGCAATGAACACTTGTAGGGAATTCCCTCTCAACAGAGGCAGTAATGGTAGTCAGGTATTTAATAGAGACTTTAGCAGCAAGTTATTACTAATGATTTTCAGATTGGCTAACTGAAATTCTTTTAAAAAAAATAACTGAAGTCCAAATGGGAGTGAGAATGGGAAGCACTCTAAGATTTTGCATGCCTACTTGACCCATGGTAGTATCTAAGCAACCTTGGGTTCTAACTTACATGTGTTAATATTTGGGCTATCGGCTAGTTTAATTAGTTATCCAGTAGGTACAACCCAGTAAAAGTTACCTACCAGGCTGGGTGCTTATTGTGTAATTGACAAATCCTTATCAAGATACTTCTTGCAGAAGAATTAGGATGTCATGGAAATTCTAGGGACTCAAGCCTTGTCCAGGGTCCTGAAGGGGCTTGCCCATTACAGGTGCTTTCCCATTTGTTTCTAGAATCAAACTGGCTCATTGAGGGTATTCAATATTGTGGATAATCTGAGGTCAGGTTGGATATTCCAGAGTGACTTTAGGGTCACCAGGGCTAAACATAGCTATACCCCAAATTAGATAATCTAAAATATTCCCCCGCCTCACTCTTCATCCCAATAAGGCTCACAAGCTGTTCTAGATCCAAGTATCTGGATAGGTCAGAACTAAATAAAGAAGGAGACAACTAAATGACTTCCAAGGTCCCTTCTAGCTCTCATTATTTTTTAGTGTTCTTTGTTGGATTATCATACATCTCAAGCTGCCTCATTCTGGGTACCCCAGGATGCATTTCACTGCCTATTCTGTCCTCATTCTCTCTTACTTGGGAACCTCATCAGCTCCCATTGGATTAATTTATATCTCAGTGCAGATGCCTTCTAGATCTGTATATCTAGCAACAGTCTCTCCTCTGAAGTGATGGCCATCGCCAACTGCCTATTGGCCATTCCCAACTGAATGTTCATTGTGAGATGTCCAAAACAAAACACTACCTTTCACTACAATCTTACCTCTCTTCCAAACTTCTGTATTACTGTGGAGGGTTCTACTATTCTTAGTCACGAAGGCTGTCATTTCTCAAGGTTATCCTTGAGTCTTTATTTTCCCTTAGTTCACCAAATGTTGTCATTCCTACCTCTGCAACACTTCTCTCATCTGTCCCCTTTTCTTTTCCCACACAGCTTACACTCTATTTCAGTCCCTCATCACTTTTCCCTTGTACTACTGCAGTTAGACAGCTAGGTTGCTCAGTGGAGAGAGGGCTGGGCCTGGAGCCAGGAAGATTCATCTTTCTGAGTTCAAATCTACCCTTGGCATTGACTAGCTATATGACTCTGGGCAAGTCACTTAACCCTGCTTGCCTCAGTTTCCTCATCTGTAAAATGAGCTGGAAAAGGAAATGGCAAACCACTTTAGCATCTTTGCCAAGAAAACCCCAAATAGAGTCATGAAGCTCCAAATACAGTAGCTCTTTTACTTGGTCTCTCTACTTGAAGACTCTCCCCTCTGTAATCCCTCTTTCATGCTGTTGTCAAACTCTTTTTACTTATGTGCATGTCTGACCATGTCACTACCATACTCATTGAAACTCATTGGCTCCCTATCATCTTAAGGAACAAATGTGGACTATTATGTTTGGCATTTAAAGTTCTTTGCTATCAATCAGTCTATCAAGTATTTATTAAGCACTGTGCTCAGCACTTTGCTAGGTACTGGGGATGCAACTACAAAGAATAAAATAATCCCTACTTAAAATGAGTTTATGCTACCTGACTCTAATCTACCTTTTCAGTCTGTTACAACTTCTTGAACTTCACATACTACAATCCAGTCAATCTGGCTTTTTTATTTTTCCTCACAAATGGAACTTAACGCTTGATCTCCGTACCTATTCATTGCAACCTCCCCCCCCCGTCCCCCCCATCCCCCTCGCCCCACACACACCTCTTGTAATTCCTAGTTTTGTATCAGACTTAGGTAAAGTTCCATCTTCTTCATGAATCTTTTTCTTGATCCCCACTAACTACTGGTACTCTGTCCTACTCTAACCACCTTGTATGTATTTTGTAAGTATCTAGATCAGCATAGATTTTTTCACCCATAGAATGTAAGTTCTTTGATGAAGCTTTTTTGTCTTTGTATCCCAAGTGACTGGCATCATGCTTGGCATCTAGGAGGTGCTTCAATAAATGTTTGCTGAATTCTTGATTGACCCTAAGATCCTGCCTTGGCAATGAGAAGTTTGGAGGGTCCACCACTTTAAAGAATTGTAGGGAACTTGTTTTGATACACAAATTTCTTCTGTACAGATTATTTTAGTGCTTTTCCCAAACACCTCCACTCTTAGCATAATGTGCTTTTGGAAATGGAGAAAGTGAATACCTCAATGAAAGTGAATATTCCTGAGAACAAACCATACACTTATGCATATGACTGCTCAATGGAACAATCCATAACACAACTCAGAGAACAGAGGAAGCTAGAAATGCACAAAGAAAAGAAGGGAAACACTTAGCAATCAGTGAATCCAAAAAGGAAATCATTTAACAGTCTAGCCAGAATTATGTAAATTATTTTAAGACAATAGGACCTGCTCCAAAAATGTTAAAAATGTAGGCAATTAAAATAGTACCTGCAAAAAGACAGCAGGCTTGATTTTTTCCATTGGATAGTTTGGTACACAGTGGTGAAATGAAACCTTTTAAACAGAAGGTGTAAAAATGGTATGAAAGTTGGGTTATGGTATATGGGTAACACCACTTGCCCAAAATTACAGGAACATTGTGCCAGAATCCCATAGTATTCAGTGACCTTGAGCAGGGCTCCAGGGCTCTCTTCCTGAGGGCAATTAACTCTACCTTCCATTGTTTCCTTCACTTTCCCTGCCCCAGATGGGCTCTTAATCTAGGAATTCAAAAGTCCTCGCCCTCCTGACTGAGTGACAAACACAAGATCACATAAGCTATTCCTTCTGTGTGGGGAGTGAGAATGAAAAATAGAAAGGATGTCTGTAAACTGACAAGCTGAGAGCATTTTTATTTTTCTTCTTTGGGCTGAAGGATAGTTAAGCCCACTGGATATTAAAATCAAGCACCTCGGGATTTCAGCTGATAAGCATGGTATGCCTCTAATGTTTCTGCTAGTTTTTTTTTTCCTTCCCCTCCCCTCTTGCCTTTCTAACAAAGCTCAGCAAAATTCCTCAGTAAGTTAGTCTTAAAATATGACCATAAGCAACCAGAGAAAATTAATTGTGTGGGCATGTGAATGCTTAATTTCCAAATTATCAGGGTCAAATACAATTGATAACAGCTGTTTCCTATCAAATATTCCTTATTTCTGTATATTCTGGTCTAAAACATAATTCCGGGAAAAAAAAAAAGAAAGCCTGGCTTCATTCTTTGCAAGTGTGTTTTAGACATTCTTCAAGGTCATACTTTGCTCGTTGGTATCCTGGATTATGCTAAGTATAGTATCACTGAAAGTATTTCCTTAAACACTACCTTCACCCATCAAAAACAAAATCCAGAGCTCCAATTTTATAAAAATTCAAATTTCTTCACTTGGTTGATAGATGGAAATTCTGAATCAAGAGTCCAGGTAATGTACCACAGTGCTTAGTTAATGAGCAGGCCTTGTAGTTTGGAAGACCCAGGTTCAAGTATATTCTCTGACACATACAAGCTGTGCAACCTGGGGCAAGTCACTTAACTCCTCAGGGTTCTGGGCATGTCTCTAAGGTTCTGAGTGAGCTACAGATTCCCATCCACAGAAGTTTTCACACTGGGAGTTCCCCCAAAACATGAGATCACAGGTACCAGTTCATTACCCCTCCTCCTACATGCACACGCACTTAAGTAGGGTTGAGGGAGAATCAAGATTAAAATAGCATTAGGACAAAGAAGTAAATAAAATCTTGAAAAGACTCAAGACTTCACAATTCCCTAACTTCTATTGAGGTTAAAAAAATATTAAGTTGCTTAATAGTATTATTTTCTTAGTTTATCAATGTCTTAACCAGATGGTCAAAAATTTAATGCTAGAGTTCTAGATATATTTCTCAAATTCTTCCAGTCAATAAATAAGGATTTTATGAGAGGCACACGAAAGTTCAAAGTTAGACAGCTTATATTTTCATGTTTGTTTGTTTGTTTTTATTTAACCTAAGAGTTAGCAGGAGTCCTTCAACTTTTTCTTTTATCCCAAAGGTATGCTAATTTAAAAGTAACCAGATATCCTTTGACTACAGACTCTTGAATTACACTGGGGATACCACTGGTGGTAGTATTGCTAAAAGGGTTTTAAATATGATGTACATATCTATAAATATGACTATAGAGCAACAATAATTTAGGTAACTTGGGTAAACTTCCCTTGCTTTGGCTTCAGTCTGATTCTTGCCCTTATTACCTAGAAAACAGCATAATTCATTTACTTTGACCCGTGCCTGGCTAAAGTTAGACACCATTTTAAAACAATGAATTATGTGAAAAATGGAGAGGGCTAATATCTGGCAAATATCAAAATCCTAACAAATGGGCTAATATTAGTGTTCAATATACATTTCACAACACAATCTCCCCACCCCTTGTTTTAAGCTTAGTTGGCCTTTTTCTACCCAAGGATCAATTTTTTTTCTGTGTCTACTGCAAGCTTATTTAATCTCTTGAGGGTCTTTTTGGTGAGGTTTATTTATAAGGAATTGTCATGAAACAGAAGTTCTGGTGCTCCCAAATTGTAGGTTCCTGTCAAAGAAGGACTCTATTGCAGATGTTGTAGCCTTGGACTGAATATACTGGTTTGCATCTGCTCTGAGGTGGGCCACAACTTCACTTGGGTCTAACTTAGTGACTACTGGTAAATGGTGGTGAGATTTGTCTGTGCTCCAAAGGGTCTCCCTTGGAACAATCTGCAGCTACTGAGATCTTTTAGTACATTAGCAGGGTTTTCAGTTTGTTCTGAAGAGTTTTCTCGGTGCTCAGTTCAACACTGCTTCACTCATTTCATGCAGGGCTGAAATAGTTTACATTTAGAACCCGAGAGACTACTTTCCAAGACTCCATATAATCAGAGAAATTAGAAGTGGAAAAAACCCAATACATTATCCAGGACATGATTTCTCCCTATGGTTCAGCAATTAGTGTCTTTTTTCCAATCTCATTTAAAATGACCTTGCTGATGCTAACTGAGCTTCCTTCATTTACCTGGGGAGTCTATTTTCCTGATACTCACCCAACTAAGTAACATCTGTCGATTTCATTAACCTAACCCCCAACTCACCTATTTCAAGATATTCAGTTTGCCAAACACTAAAAAACTGAAAAAAAAGTATCAGATATCATCTCTTTTTTATGTTCCCTTTCAGTAGCAATTTACATGAATTTATAATGATTATGAACCCATATTTAACTTGATTAAATGAAATAGATCATCATGTATAGTTGCAGGTAGAAAGGGAAAAAAAGGAGTATTTTGAGTGCATGAGTGTATTTCTAGGCAAATGGATTGAAAAGTAAATATTCACGTTATAGAGTAGGAATGCCTATTTTCTTTTATTATGCCACTGGGCCTCACAAGAAGATAATGGTAGTCTGATTGTCAATAGTAAGTAATAGGTGATGTGGTGGACAGATTGCTGGGCCTGGATTCAAATGTAGCCATAGACATTTAATAGCTGTATGAAACTGGGCAAGTCATTTAAGCCTTTGCTTCAGCTTCCTCATCTGTAAACTTCATATAACCATAACATCTACTACCCAGGGCTGTTGTGAGGATGAACTGAGATAATATTTGTAAGGCTTTGTAAACTTTAAAGCATTATATAAATGCTTACTATTGTTTAGCTTGAATGTTGCTAAGTGTTTTTTAGTTACTCTAATTTAGAAGTATCATTTGCCCTTACCTTATTCCAAGTAAACACTTAGTCTGCTATTCTAACAGGGTAAATATGAAATGTTTTCTAGCAAATCCACTGACTTCGCTCACATATAGTTTAAGCCCTTTTCTACCCCTCTCTTTCTTCTCAATAATATGCCCCAATTAGGAGTATACTTAAATTCTACTAAGGATACCTTTTCACCCTCCAGCTTTCCTGCTCTAATCACTGGTTTTCCCACTAAAGTCACTTGACTAATGCTTCCATTTTATAGGTTTAAAAGCGTCACAGGTTGAAGTAATAAATTCTTTTATTTTCCTGTAGCCATGGTCCTTGTTCCATTTTCCTTTTTTTCCATTTTCCTACTGATCAGATATTCTTTGCCTGAGCTTGCAGTGGGGATTCACAAATTCTCAAAGCCTTATCCAGAGCAAACAATTGCATGACTATAAACCTGGGACTTATTGGGATATTAGCACTACTGATTCCAAGCTTGAAGCTCTCTTTAAATTCATGAGGCTTACTGTCCTCAACGCCACTCATCAACACCCCAAAGTTAGCATTCCATTTCCCGTTCTCTCAATCATTTAGAATTCTCTTGACAACTGAATTAAGAGTTGATACAGTGCTATGCTACTGGAGTCAGGTGACAAGAATTTGTCATAGTCACAAAGAGGTTAGTGTTTTAGGGTACACAGGCAACCAGTATGGTGGAAAATCAAATGGCTCATCCACTACATGGTTCTTCCTGATGCAAATCTAGATTACTGACTGAACTTGTGCACAGTCATGGTGAAGAATGTCTGGAATGGCACCCTACTCCTCACACTGCTCAGACTGTGATTTCACACTCCTGTTTTCGTCATGCTGATTCATTCAGACAATCCAACAGGTGTTTGCACTTAACCAGTCATACCCAAACCAAATTAGCATGTGAACCATCTGAATTTCTGCCCACATGATTTAAGTTAGCCCTAACTCAGGGGTCCCCCACTGAAAGAGATGATGAATAAAGTTCTTAAGTCAATAGAAATCTCATGAACTAAATAAGAGAAATGGAGATTTTTAAATTGTTACAAGAATAAGCCTCATGAGGGCAAAGGGCAGGTGGGCAGACAGCCATTATATCTTGACAATTTTCCATAGCCCTGGAAAGCTGACTATCACACAAAAGTGCTTATGGCATACATATCACTTTGGATTCTTATACCACAATAATTTATGATCTGGAAGAACTATAAAACACCCAGTAAATGAATAGTACTTGCCAGAAAGCTTATAGTCCCCATATGATAAAGATGACTTATCAGACAACTGATTGAGTGTCTTTAGTCTTTTGAAAGCTAGGAAGATATATTCTCTTTTATTTTTTGCTCAAAATGCCAAGAATGGTTTAAATTAAATACAAATAAGACTTCTTTTTCTCTTTGTGTATTCCCCTAAAGTCTCTTCATAAGTTTCTCCTGAGAAGTAATGAGTATTCCAATGCTAGATAATGTGGTAACCCCACTTTGTTAGCCTTAATGTCTTAGCTGGTAGATACTGTTAGCAGTTATGTTGCATAAAAAAAGACCAAATCAAGGAAACTACACAGAAAACGTTCCTACCCTTTTGGTGCTCTTTGCCTAGCATAAGAAAAACTTTGCAAGGCACTAAGGTTTAATTTCCCCTCTCCAAATTAGGCTGCATCAGGAAGATGGTATGATTCAGGTGTATCTCATACCTCTTAACAAAAAACACACAGCAACCTTATGAAAAAAAAATGTCCCAAAGATGAACCTGGAAGGTATTTATAGGCATTGTGTACAATTATTCAGTAGTAGGATTTTTGTGCCCTTTCACAGATTTATAAAATGTCTTTCCTCTAAGTTCTCACAGATTAGGTCAAGAGGCTTTGGCAGATGAAAAAGAGACGCACACCACAATGGCATTACTACTGGGTAGCCTTGGCTTTTTATAAACTTGTCAACATATTAACAAACCAGTGCAGCTAGATTTTTCCTAAGACATAAAGAAATAAAGGTATGATTCAGAAAATATTTGGATATTATGAGTTCTTCATGGTTCAATAATTTTAGAAAATAAAATGACTGGGTTTGAGAAATACTGACATTGTTGAAGGGACAAATCCATTTATATAGTTTCTTTTAAAATAATTTTTAGTATTTGGGTTATGGATCAGTTCAAAACTCAATCTCTGAGTTTGTGGAGTCTAGTAATTCACTCTAGGTTTTTTTTTTCTGTTTTACTTGAGTCTTTGATTAATCAGTAGAACATATGAACAATAGATGTGGGTAAAAATTGCTGGTTCATGATACCTTTCTTCTATTAAAGGAACAGGGAGTAGGAAGTAGAATGGAATGAGAGAGCTGCAATCACCTCTTCTATCCTCCCAACAGCAGGGAAAAATAGTCCCTGAGGAAAGTGACTCCATTTATCAGCTGAGTTGGGTAAGCTCTGCTCTATCCCTTTATCTCATCCATGTGGCAAGAAGAGCCAAAGAGTAGTAGGCACAGTAGACACAGAATCTGATGGCTCAAAAAAATCAGTTTCCTGGAATTTTGGCATCCATGTTCAACCAGCAACGGCCACTCTGTTACCTTTCCAAAGATGACTGGGCAGCCTTAGATTATTTCCTATATGGAAAAATCTTACCCAGGTGGAATTTCAATGCTTACAGACTATTAAATCCTTAATAAAAATTCAGCCCAAGTGAAAATCAGTTACTGGTTTCCATAGTGCATGTGATGTGGCTCCCTGACCGGGAAGTGAACCATGGACAACTATTTATTAGCTTGTTAAACCACATTCCAGCCACTTTTTGTGTTTTTTACCCCCTCTTCTCCAATCAGATAAACGTGCTCAACAGAGTACTCTGGATTTAAAAAAAATATGTTGGTATAGTGTCTATATTCAAAAACAGTAATTTGAAATGAGGATTTTAGCCATAAATGATTAGTGTGATTTCATATATATGTATAGATACACACACACACACACACATATATTTATACCCACATATATATGTACATACGCACAATGTCTATAGGGAGATAATGAACATGTATAAGATCTTTCTGGAAAGAATGATCCCAATAGTAATTGGAGTCCATCTGTAAGGAACTTTTCAGAGAGGATGAATTCCCTGTGGAGAATGAGACTTGAATTCTCATGAGTTTATCTGGTTTGATTTGCTTCTTTTTATTGGGCATGTATAACCCTGGAGTGAAGACTTAGGGAAATTCCCTGCCCTTATTCCCCAGTTTCTACTATGTTTCTAATTCAGGCCAAGTGGAGAATGAATCTGGTCCTGCTGGGAGTTCTGCCTTCAGCTATGCTCAGTAACTGACAGGGCTGGCATCTGGGGCAAAGAGCTGCTGAAAGGGTAGAGGAGGATAGCCCACTTCCTGGCAACAGTAGAAGGAATCCCAGTTTATGTAGATTCTCACCCCAGCTCAATAACTAAAAGGCTTGAGAGGAATTTGCTTTAACCAAACTAATGCAAAATGGATGGGGACTTCAATTTGAATTCAGTCAACAGCTACACTGATCTCTCATTTGAGTGCCAGTCTCCATTCATTATGGGAACTTGCACTTCTTCCCTTTATTTTTTGGAGAAGATTTTTGGAGGATCTGGCTATATAAAGGATCCATTTAATGAAGAAGATACCTAAACAAGGGCAAAGAGGAGTTATGCAATAAAAGAGGCTCGTGACTAAGAATAGCATAATTGTTAGTGGCCTTCTTTGTATTTAACTTCTAAAAAAATACCTCTCCACTTCCCAAGATGCACAAAATCTAGACCTGCTTCACTCTACTGCCTAAAGGATACATATATGCATGTAAATATTTTGATGGTTCATAGATTTTCACTAGAAAATTAGACCTTGTATACATTATCACCTTCCAAATAACCTGTATTATGTATACCAGGGACTAGGCATCAATTACAGAATTCAACTAATGGGAACGGAAAATAAATTGAGCAAGAGAAAGAAATGATTTGAAAGTATTCCCTGAAAACAAATGCATGGGCTTAAAAATAACCTTTCTTTTTTAGGAGAGTTCGGTTATGATAGCCTTCAGATTTTCTTGGAAGAGTTAGTTTGATTTGGCATATCCTTCGACTTTTATTTGTCTATCTTGTTTTGTAATGGGTCACACGATATTTACAGAAGGGGAAAAGACATGAATAGACAACTAACTTTTGCTGTCTTAAAAGACTGAGAGAGTCAATTGTCTTTGGGATTGAGGAGAACAAAGGTCAAGGAAATGGACATTTTTGATTCTCCCTTGGCCCTCAAAAGGATCAGGGGTGACCTGGACTGATGGGAGATTCCTGGATCCCTAAAGTTAGATGAGGAAGCAGAAATCCCTGACATAATGGGGAAGATGGTTAGTCCTCCTTAAGGCCATCCTCACTGAACTGTTTGTGTGAGAGAATTAGAAGGATGTTACAAGATGAAAGTATTTAAGAGTGAATGGAGTGATTGGCTCAAGAAAGGACCCAAATGCAATCACTGCTATGTGTAGGCAGATGAGTCAGTCAAAAAAACGAGGGTGCTACATTTTATACAGAGTTAAAAAAAAATACTGCTTGTGCATTGAATCTTCTTTCCATATCTTCTTCCCTCTGCACCCAGAGAAATGGAAGGCAAAGAAATTGGGGTTGTAGAAAAAGGCAAGGTAATTAAGGAGATAGCAAAAATGAAAGAAAAAGGAAATGGAAGAGAAGAGAAATGAAGTAAAATGAAGAGGAAGAGGGAGAGAACAAGATGTGAGGGATATAATCAGGACTATACCTTATGCATCTAGGAACAGTTGAAATGTCAAATATTGAGACAAAACCATACATGAACATTTTGTTGTTATTTTACATGTTTGTTAAAAAATAAAAAAAAATAGAATTGGGGAAAGATGGAACAAATAGGCAGGGGGAGAAAATGGTGTGGACAAAAGACAAACCTCCCTGACTTTACCAGCTAAAAGCTGGCTCTACTTAAGTGTATGTAAACAATTCACATGATATCTAGTATATATTTGGACTTGTGAAACTCCCTAGTTAATCTACCATGAACTTTAATCCACCTCTTCATTCTGGAGTTGTTGTTTCTTTTCATACTTATTCTAAGGGGAATTCTGCCCCCATCTCACCCATAGCATTAAATCTTCCTATATGTGATGAGTGGGTGATAATTCTGAGCAAAGGACACATACATACTCTTAAAGACTCTGTAACAATTGCATATCAACCCCTAAAAGACACACACACACACACACACACACACACACACACACACACACACACACATCTATGCCTTTAAAATAAATGTAATAAAGCAGTTTAATAGGACACTGGGGACTGAAACTCTGAGGAAACATCACTGTTTAAACTTCACCACCAAACAGCAGAGCCATAAATTTTGCTTACTAAGCCTCTGAGAATTTAAAACTGTCAAGTACCTGAGACCAGGGAGAAGAGTACCAAGTGCCCCTAACATGCCTCACTGCAGGGTACACTGGTTGCTTGGGACATGAAGACAGAGTGCATTCTCTTTCCAAGTCCAGGTTTGGCTTTGGCAAATGTAAGCATTTCTTTGAAGCCAGCTCTCTGTATTTTCCAGAAACGTATTTTTCTGCACATTTTAACAACCTTTTCTGTATGCCTCTTTCACAAGTTACAGAGCACTAAAAGAAAAAAAAGAGAAGGAACAAAAATAAGGGGATTGAAATAATTCCTCTGAAGTAATAATTTTAGAACAAAATTCAATATGGAAGTTAAAATGTTATATAATTGTTAACAGTTCTAACATGGTTATAACAAAACTTAGTGGACCTCAGATGTAATTGTTTTAACTAAATATATTGACTATCTTTTAGAAAAGGATTTTGAGTACATACTGGCTTTCAGTACCAGGGGATACTTGCTGGCAGACCAGAGCAGCATAGGCAGAACAGCCTTGAAACACGGGACTCAATGAGCATGAAAGTGACATTGGCTGCTGGCTCTGTGGGACCTGTCCAAGACTCATTGAATTCCTGTGTTTTCTGAGCCTTTGCTTGGTTAGCTGGTTATGTCTGCTCCTGGCTGTTTCTTGCTTGACATGCACCATCCCTGTTTCCTCTCCTGATAGGTTATAGATGATCTCCTGCTTAAATAACACAGCTTCTACTTGGTGAGTACTCACTCTGTGCTCCTTTCTCAATAGTTTTTGGGTTTTTCTTTTCCATCCCCACAACTATAGAATGATTTTGTTGCCAAGACTAGGCCTCACAATACTCTTTATCCCACCTTACCACGAGGCCGTTAAGGGCTGGGCCAATGTGACAGAGATCACCAACATAGTACAGAAGCTAAAGAGTGGAAGCAGGAGAAAAGAAGAAAGGAATAATGCCTGGGAGTGAGACCAAATGGCATCTCACCAGTAGATGCTGTCATGTTATACTGGAACTTATTTGAGGCTTCACTGAAAGAAAAAACACAGGGCCAACTGGCATATTCCACTATTTGATGCAAAAATCCATGAGCTCTACCAAGCTTCACACAGGAGCCGTTGTCCCAGAAAGCCAACTACTAGTGCATATACATACCCCTGAAAGCAAAGCACTTAGGTACCTTATGTTTCCCTGAGAACAGAAGATAAATAGTTTCAGTTTCATGAGGTCACATGACTCACATAAGAATGACTTCCAGATAAAAACCAGGAATATTTTAAAAGGGGTGAGGTGGAGGAACTTGGCTATTACCATGGGACAAGTGTCCTATGAGGCTAGATCTTACAGCTCAAACAGTGTCAGGTAGTGGCTTTGGAACTAGGGAAAAATGATTCTACTGTATAATAAGCTCAAAAACATCTAGGCAAAGTTCCTAAAGGTTCCAAAGTGGATGATACCGACCCCTGGGGGGCACTGGAATGATCCAGTGGGTGGTAGTAGCCTTGGGTGCAATTGGGGGACATTGAATAAAAAATAATGGGGCAGTGGAAGCATAAAGAAAGAAGATAAGAAAATTTTGAAAAACTGTTCGTACATGTTTCATCTTATGTGTAACAGAGTTAAAATCATAGTGATTACATTATTTTTCAAGTAAATACACAAAATGCAAGTTATACCTGATCAGTGATCAAGGCTACCATCAGGCCTTAACAAGTAAGTGTTGGCAGGTAAGCATGTCACACATTGTCGGGAAGTCCAGCATATATCACTGGGAATATGTGTGTGTAATGACTTGTTTATAATATACTATATGGTTACATGATGCAATATTGCATCAACAAAATTTCAATGCAGGAAAAAATGCACAAATTTAAAATAAATTATTAAATGTAAGATGCAACATTTAAAATATTTTATATATTTTTGAAATGATGCAAATTTTTTCAAAAAACATTAAACGGTTAAAGAAAGTAGATTCCCCGGGGTGGGGGGGGGGCACTGAGTAATTATTTTTTTGAAAAGGAGACAGTAGGCCAAATAATTTTGGGAACCTCTGCTCTAGACTGACTATTGCTCAGTTCTTCTTTATACTGGTCTTTCTCGACCTGGGGATTGGAGAATTGAGACTAAAGGTAGAGATATCCAAACCCATGTTTGTGGCCCAAGTGACTGAAACTTATATCAGTGGAGTGAGTGATTTTCTATATTCTTGGCCCAGTCCTGCTCCTGAGGCCATATTTCTCTTCTCATTGTAGCTATAATAATCAAGGAGAAGCAACAAAGTATAGGGGGATAAAGAGCTGGTCTCTTAGCTAAGAAGACTTAGAGATTAAAAATTGCAGAAAATGTGATGGATGACTTGCATTGGTAAAATGAATTTCCTAATCTGGGAATTCAGTATACAATTAAAATCACAGGTCCAGCCCCTATTCCTATCCTATTGATAAATAGAGGGAGTGTATAACTAGTAAGCTCTAAATGTCTATTTGATGGTGGCTGTGCTTAAGACTTGAGTTTTACATTTTAGGTGTAAGTGCTTCATGTTAATCGTAGTATTTCAATCAGGAATATCATAATAAAGGCCATGCAATCAATTTAATGTTTTCAGAAATCTAAATGTTTTTCCTCTTTCCTATCTTTAGAAGTAACTAAGTTATGGAAGGTACAAAATATTTTTGAATCCTATCCTTTACATCAAACTGCTACCGCATATTGACTTAGAAAAATCACAAATTAATATTGTCTATATTGTATTTTTATTTATTTTGTTAATCATTTTCCAATTGCATTTTAATCTAGTGCAAGCCACATAAGCAAATTGAGAATCTCATTTTGCATATAATCCTAATTACTGATTATCCCAAAGTTATGCACTTGAGTGGCCCTGGTAGAGTCACTTCTTCATGTTTTAAAAATCTCCTATTTCTCAAATTTAAAAATAGTCTTTAATGACCATTTTAGACAAGATATCTCAGTTAGATGCCCTAATATCCTGATGGCTGGTACAAATTCCCGTTAAGTATTTTCTCATAACTTGTGTCAACCCAAAGAAGATATTCAACTGAATTCAATCAGGCACTAGGCAGAGTAATTTATTCATATATTCTTTTTTATTTTGAAGATGATGCTCCTCACGGATATCACTATCCATGTGATTTTTCTTTTAAATGAGAAGCAGTGTATTATAGTGAAAGGAACACTGGAGTTGAAGCCAAGGGATTTAGATTCCTGTGGGAACATTGGTACTACAACCATATGCACATCACCTAAGGTCTCTGTGACCAGTCCTCTATACAGGGCAGTTTTTTAGTAAATGTTCAGTGTTGGGCCTCAGTCCATTCTGAAAAGATACATAGTGTCTTTGAAAAGAATAAAATAAATTAACTTTGAAAAAGAATTAATTTAGCACCTTCTTTCATACCTACTGGAATGACATTCTAGCAATTAATCAGAATTGAGATATACCCACCTCTGACCAGGCAGACACAAGCCATTGTAGTTTCTTGTGCTTATGGCAGCGTTTAAGCAAACAGGCTTCCTGAGTTTGGGGTTTCATTTCTGTGAAACAGCCAGCATCAGGCAGAATCTGAGCCCGAGCGGACGGGTTAGTGCTCTTACAGGTCACTGATCTCTTTTTCCATCCTTTCCCACATGTTCTTGAACACTAAAGAAGAGCAACGAGTAAATAACGGGAAGAAAAATCCAACAAAGGAAAATATACTAGGCTGGCGTGTGGGTTTTCAGGAGGAAGCCTCTAAAAATGGCATCAGTAAAAGCAAGGTTTTAGAAAGAGGCACTGACCTCATTTCTCTGCCCCCTGCTTGCAGTCTGAATAACTTACCTCTGACCAGGGCCCTGCACTCCAGGCTGGTGGGCAGCTCTGAGTATTACAGATCTGTCTGCTGGGAGGGATTGGCTGAGGGCAAAGACTGGCAGAGACCACCTCTGATTTGGAGTGAATCCGCTGCATACACTGAACCAGCCTAGATTGCTCTCCTATGCCACAGGTCAAGCTGCAGGTGCTCCAGTTCCCCACTGACCAGCTAGGAGAAGACATAGCAAAAGTCATCAAGATCTGTAAATATCCATGCCAGAAAGAAGGTAATTATATTCAGTGTTTCTATTTTAAATAGTTTTATCATTCTTAGTAGTAATTTCCTACAATAACACTACTAGGTAAACTCAGATTTTTTTTTTCCACACTGAAGAAGTAATATTTTCCAGGTAGGCGATCCAGTGGATTGAGTGCTAGACCTGGGTTCAGGATGACCTGAGTTCAATTCCAGCTTCATCTATTTACCGGCAGTGTGATCCTGGGCAAATCATTTAACCTCTATCTACCTCAGCTTCCTTATCTGTAAAACTTGATAAAAATAATAATAACCTCTACCTCCCAGGGTTGTTGTTAGGCTAAAATGAAATAAAGGAGAAAGGGAATAAGCATTTATGTAGCACCTACTATTTGCCAAACATTATGCTAAACACACTTTTACAAATATCACCTCATTTGAACCTCACAAGAACTCTGTGAAATAGGTGCTACAATTATCCTCATTTTACAGTTGAGGAAACTGAGGCAAATAGAGGTTAAATGACTTGCCCAGGGTCACATAGCTAGTAAATGTTTGAGGCTATGTTTTAATCCAGCTCTTTTTCACTCAAGATCCAGTACTATTATCTACTGTGCCACCAGCTGCCTCTATATTTAAAGATGGTATTTATAAAGTGCTTTGCAAGCCTAAAAGTGCTATATAAATGTAAACTGCTATCATTATCATCATTATCATCATTATCATCCAATTCTGTCCCACTGACTTACTTCCCTTATGAATTCTTCTCTTCCTTTCATCAACTCTTTTTTACCCTCCAATATGGAGAACTATTTTTCCAAAATTAAGAAAGACAAGTCCTATATGTATTCTAGATGTGAATGAGAAACATCTTTCTCTGTTTTAATTCATCTTTGTGGAAGCCCTAAAATATTATATACTAAGTAAATTTATTTCATAAGCACATTTCCATTATGCATTTAATGAACCCAAATAGCCCAATGTCACCAATGCTTATCTTTTTTTTAATATCAATTTCCTCCTTGTTATTCTATGTGACCCTGAATCATGGTCTACCATGTCCTCAGAAGGATAAAAATAATAAATAATCCTAAGAACAAGGAAAAGACATATGGTATGTGAAAGTAGGCCATAGGATTCACCTATGGAAATATCACTGAAGATATGTAGCACTAAAAAAGGAGATTGGTTGGACATAAAGAGAGGGTATAAGATAAGAGATGGACAGCACAAGTCACACTGTTATTGATGATGTATTAAAAGACAAAGAGCAAGACCTCCAGAATATTAGGTAGGTAATCCATGGAGAATTTCTGGAAAGACACAGGCAAGAATTCTAAGGATGAAAAGGACTGGCTGAGTTGTGATCTGCATTGAAGGTATGAGTACTCACACTCATGATATCATGATCTATCAAGGTATAAATGTATTTTCCAATTGAAGAAATTGAGGCAAAGGTGGAACAACTTGCCAAAAGTCATGCTAAGGTAGCTCCAATGAGCTCCTGTGGAATGGGAACTGAGGTCTATTTGAACAGTGAGACAAACAAAATGTTAAAAAGGACTTATGTTCTAAGACCTCCAAACTATGTTATGTGAACGTCCTGGAGTAAAATGCAGGAAAACAGGCTCTGTGGTTGTCCTAGATGTGAAACAGAAGTCACTATACATGCTTTAGTCTGCCTCTGTCTATGTCAGGTCTAAAAGATTATCTATTAAGTGTGTTTCCTAAACAGACATCATTATATTTGTGAGAAATCATGGAAAATCTGAAATGTTAACTTTTGTACCCAAAATAATAAAACAATATAGTTCCTTATGAACTGTCCCATTTTAACTGTGGAAAAGGTTTCAGCTTTCCAGCCCAAATGGGGCTAATCCATTTTTTAAAAAAAATTAAAGACATTCTCAATCAATCTATCCTTATTATGAATGCCAGTCCTTCAGCATGTGCTGCTTGGCTTTTTCATCCATTGATAATCCCTCCCCTTTTTCTGTCTTCGTTATCCCTGTTTGCATTGATGGTGGTTTCTACCTTCTCCTCCTTTCTTATATCTGTTCTCCCTTTCCTAAAGCCTTATAAATTATAATTGGTGTGTCCACACAGGGGTTGCAACAGACATCTTGGCTGCTTCAAGGCTTTTCACACCTTCTTGTTAAGTCCTTCTGTCTCCACCGTCTTAAGCCATTCCAATTGTGTTGATCCAGTCTCTCCCCTCCCCTCTTGACTGCACATCATTAAGAAACCCTTCTCTTGAACAAAGCTCATTCATACTGTATCTGGAAACTCAAAGTGTCTGTTCTGTGTCATAGGCAGAGCTGTGGGAGAAAAGTCTTGATTTCAGCTCATGAAACAGTCAAAGTCAACACAAGAGCCTGCCCTTTGCCATTTCGTGTTTCTGTAGCTCCTTGATCTTCAGGAGTAATTTCCCAAAACTACCTGCATACAGTAGCACACCAGCTGTCATGTTGGTTGGCTCTAGTATAGTTCTGCTTTTTTTTTTTCCCTAAGTCTCCAAGTCTCCAATCTGAACAAAATAAAGGGCTGGTAAAGTGTCAAGTCAAAGTTATGGTTCCAATTTCAGACATTAAAAGATTGAGCCATACATAGTCAGTACTTTCCATCAGCTCAGTCACTTACCCATGAGACATATGCTTTTGTCTCCCAGGAGTGCCTGGAGAAATGCTAGGGTTTTATGGTCTTCAAATGCCAGGTTAGATAGTATTTTCTGGCATCATTTGTTTCATTTTTAGGCCCCATTTGCCACCATTCACCAACTGTTTCTCAAGAAAGCTACAAACCATTTAAAAAATTCTTTTTTATGTCAATAACATTTTGGTTCCAGACTTGGGATACTTCCTTTCAAGATGCAAAATTCCGACATGGGTAATTGATTTAAGTAAAGTGTCTTGACATAAAGCTGCCACACAAGCAGGCATATTATGTTTTGGCTAAAATCCAAACTCTGGGATAATGTCAACATTAGATGACACCTTAAGCATTAGGCAAAAAGTTCATCCTGTAAAGAACCAATACAGAGGATTTGCTTATTTATTGGGCTGAAAAAAGTGTCAGATACTTACTCAAAGTGATAACTACTGCTTTTTAGTAGTTGTGACTTTAGGATAACAATGCTATAAAATTTTGTCTAGCTTTTGAAAATTTAAGATCAATCAGGTCTTGTGCTATATACCATTTCCCCCTAAATTTACTGTAAGGAAGGACTAATTACAATGAATAAGCACATGTTTAAGCTAAGCCTTTACTTCTAAATCACCATGGTATAATTTTTTTTTTGTCTCTGATATCTCATTGAAGGCAAAACATAATGCTTATCTTGATACTTTGATTTACTGCAGCACAGACCTCAGTATAAGGTAGAGTCCATCTTGGAAACTGTCCAAAGGATTTATTTTTAGTTAATAGAATTACAGAAGGACCTCATTATAACATTATTTCCCCCAGTAACACATTCTTTCAGTTTAGAGTGTGGAAAGGAATAAACTACGGTTCTGGAATACACATAATTTTACAGTACTGACATTTATTTTTCTTCCTCTAAAGTCTTCCTTCATTCCCAAATCATGGCATGGAGGTGCCCTGGGTTTACCAAGGCTATGCCAGCAGATACAAAGACCTGGCAGGTCCTACTGTGGGTCAAAGGCTTCAAGTAAATACCTGGATATGGATTCTGTGGGTCTTTGGAGGAGCAGCTCTGCCCTATTCAGAGTGGCTCATCACCACAAAGTTAGACACTAGGTAATATGTGTTTGCCACAGCAGCTGTTACAGAAGCAAGACTATATCTTTTTCTCTGTACTATTTTTAGGCAGTTTATAAAAACCTCTCTTGTAGTCTCACTTCACATTAAGAAATTTTAGGTGATCTCTGCAATATAAATTATTCCTGGGAAACATTCTCATAAACCTAATCCTTCAACTATCTGACAATGGTTATCTGCATGATTCTTGAGCTAACACAGATGAGGAACTAGATTCACTTTCTTATCATTTATTTAAAAAGAAAACAACTTCTTGTTATGCAGTAAGTCCTTAAAACCCTGCCAGTTAGGATATCTGTCTTTTGTGTAGAGAAAATTTAAATGAAAATGCAAGGGAGACCATATGTTCAACATGTGTAATGTCTTAGGATTAAAATCATCTTAAATCAATAAACACTAATCACCTGCTTTGGGTGGTGAACTATGCTAGGTAATATGTATATATACACAGTTCCCTGTCTTCAAGGAGTTTACAATTGTCCTGGGGCTCTACCCAGGACATTCAGATAAGTAAATACAAAGTCATTTGAGGAGAAGAAAGTACTAACAACCATGGGTTGGCTGAGTGAGTAGAAAAAGGTGGCATTTGACCAGGAAAACTAGGGATTCTAAGAAGGGAGAGGAAAATGGAAGGCGATCAGACCTGGAGGACAGTCAGTGGAAATGCCATGGAACTACACATGTAGCCGATGACCTACACCATTTTATTCCATGTAATGCTGCTGGGGAGGAAGCACTTAAATATGTGCCAATTGGGAAATCTACTTGTTTATAGTGAAACTTCAGAAATCTGTTTAAAGAGGAAATATAGATGTAGCCCCTGTGCTCAATAGTCATGGTGTCTGAGGGGTGGATGCATCAACACCCTGCCCTTGAACAGCTCAAAACAAGAAATCATTAGGATGAAAAACACAAATTGGATTTGAGAAAGGATCAACAAACCAGCCAGGTAAACTGAGTCTGCAAAGACTGGGAGTAGGAGACCAAAGGAAAGAGAGTGGTACTCCTGGGGGATGGGATTCCACAGAGGAGAGGATTCTTGTTCCTTTTCATCTTGGCCAAAAGGCTGAGAAGTGATGGAGAGGAGTTCTTGGGGAAAGAGAACCCACTGAGCAGTTATCTGAGGACTGGGGGTGGGGGGGAAAAGAGGAGGGAAAAAGAACAGCATCTAGTTTCTCTACAGTCAGTCATGACCAGTGGCAGCTGAGGAAAGAAACTGGTCTGGAAAGTAATGGTAGGAAGCCCAAAATGAGCTCATTGGACTTGAAAACACAACAATCAACAAGAACCAAACTTGCAAGAGCCAGAAAGATTTTGACTCTTGGAGTCAATCATGAGGCAGCAAGGTGGTCTGGAGGGTAAAGCATTGGACCTGGAGTCAGGGAGATGAGTTCAAAGACGGCTTCAGTCACTTTGGGAGTGACAGTAAGCCACTGTGAGTTTTCTTTTTATTTCCTTCCTTCCTTCCTTCCTTCCTTCCTTCCTTCCTTCCTTCCTTCCTTTCCTTCCTTCCTTCCTTCCTTCCTTCCTTCCTTCCTTCCTTCCCTTCCTTCTTTCCATCTTTTCTTCCTTCCTTCCTTTCCTTCATTCCAACCTTCCTTCCTCCCTCCCTTTCTCTCTTTTTTTCTTCATGTTATTTGTGTAGGGAAGTTGCTTTTTGATGCTTGAGAGGGTGGGTTAGACTGCCCGGTACAGATCTCCCAGAATTCTGCATGGGTGCGCTGAAGCAGAAAAAAATAGTAATATAGTACAGCTGATTAGAAATGAAGGTCATGAATTCACATCTTGGCTTTGATTTTGGGTTTGTCACTTAACCTCTCAGGCCTCTATTTCCTCATCTTTGAAAGAAGAGGAATGGTCTAGATTGGTGGTGTCAAATTCCAACAGGAGCCACTATGCCATATATACAGATCCCTGTGGGCTTTCTGCCAACCTAGAAAACCACATATTAATATTATCTATTTTTATTGCATATTTATTTTGTTAAATATTTTCTGACTATGTCTAGTTTGGGCACTATTAGGAAAGTTGTGGGCCAAATGTGGCCCATGGGCCTCATGTTTGAAACCTCTGGTCTAAGATGATTTCTTCAGTTCTTCATAGCCCAAAACCCTTCATTTATGAGAAGGTAGCACAGAAACCTTGTGTCCTGATGGTAGAAGGGGGAGGTTGCATAAGCCACAATTTGCATGTGAAGCAGCATAAGGTAATAGAAGACAGAGAAAGTCACAGTCATGGAATATCAGAGCAGAAAGAGTCCTCTGAGATCACTCAGTCCAACCTTCACTCAACGCTATAAATTCTATCTCGAACAAATGTCCTTGGCATGTGGTCATCAAACAAATGCTTAAACCTAGAATTCAAGAGGGAGCACGTTGGTGTTGTGACCCCAGTTGTCATTCACTCTATAGCTCACTTTCCTCATCTATTAATTTGTATTTTACTTTTTATCCATCTCCCAGGACTAGTCAACAAGGTTAAATGGGATTTATTAAGTGTCTCTGTCTTGGCAATCTGTTACAACAGTGAACGTGGTGAGAGTCATGTCCTCAAAGAGCAGAAAGATTTTAACATTAAGTAAATATGTAAATGAATACTGTGTACAATCCCTAAGCTACTACCTATGTAGACTGCCATCTTTTTTACATGACTGATTGGAAAAAACATTCGGTGTCTTAATATTCCCAGCATCCAAGCCCTCCAAAGGCTACAGTTAAATGTCGAAGGAAATGGAGGACAACCTGCCCAGAACTCAGCAATCACATTTTCCTCTGCAGTCTATTTGGACAGATGTTCTGGTCGCTGACTGGACAACCTAGGATTGGGCTGTCTGCTGGAACACTTCCTCATCCAGCCTCACTGCCTGAAGGTGGGCCCCCGAGCCTTTTCATCTCAGCATGGAGAGCTCATTACTGACAACTGGTTGGCAAAGAAGCAGGGGCCTAACATTTGGAAAGGAGGAAACCTGGATTGGGAATCCAGCTCCTTGATGAGGGAACCAAAAACCATGTCTACTGGCACACCAGGGCTTATAACTTTACAATTCCTGCATTTCTCTGTGCCTGAAAAGTTAGGATCGTGAAACTGAAGTTGATGTTTGTAATGAGCTAAATAAATCCAGGCATTGAATTGTTTCAATCTTCAAAGACAAGATGTCTTTGCTGAATCATGCAAAGCTACCCTGCTACATATCAAGAACTGAACAGGAATAAGGTGCCATGGGTGTTAATTTTATGAACTGAGAAGGCAAGAGTGGGTCCGATCCTCACTCTTGTGGGCCAAGATACTATTTTTAATGGGTTTGCCTGTTTCAGTATCCTGTCATCAGATCTTATCTTTAAAAGGATTAGCAAGATCTATCATCCTTGTATTTACAGTCTGAAGGATGGGGAAAATGAAATCATGTGAGACATGTGCTTACAGAAAGTGACCTCAGTGTTCTTAAAATCTGCCTTATTAGTCCCCTGTCTCAGTTTAAACCCTTCAATGTTCAGCAGAACATTGAGGGTGTCTCTCTTCTATTAACTTAAATGAAAACAACATCAGCTTGTAAAAAATAAAAGGAAAACCATCACACCCAAGAGGATGCTGAGCTCTGGCACTCTTAGAGGTGCCCATATTTCTAGTACAGAGTGTATATTTAAGTAGATGAAAGTCCTAGAGATACCACCCCACCCTACCAATATGAGTATTCCTGCCACTGTCTGATATACACAAAGTTTTAGGGAGATTTTTAATATGAAATAATCGATTAAAAGTAAGGATAAAAATAATAATCCTTAGGAATAGGCATTCTATTGATGTATAAAATTAAATACATGTCACATACATAAATGTAACATGCATATACAATTACATATAAAATAGAGATAAAAACGCAAGGTAAATTTGGGAGGGATAGCAACTAGGGGGATCAGAAAAGGCTTTTGGAGCTGAGTTTTGAAGGCAATAAAGATTCTAAGACTTAGAGGCGAGGAGGGAATATTATTGTCTTTAGATAATTATAGCTCACCTTCATATTGTGCTTTAAGAGCTACAAAATGTTTTATAATATGAATTGTCCTGCTTGATGCTCATAGCAGTATGAGGAAACTGAGTCTCAGAGAAGCTAAGGGACATGTACAGGATCACACAACCAATAAATGTTGGAGGCAAGATTTGAAAAATAGTTCTTCTTGGCTCTAAGAATAGCATGGTATATCATCCTCTAGGATGAGACCTTCCAAAACCAAATCTTTTGGTCTCAGAACCCCTTTATACTTTCAAAAATTATTGGGTTTGTGTAAGTTGTATCTATCAAAACTTACTATATTAGAAATTAAAACATCTTAGTATTATTATGAAAATAGTTTTGATTTCACAGGCCTTTTCCCCCCCTTAAAGAGTTTTGGGGACCCCCAAGGATTCCTGGACCACACTTTGAGAGCTGCTTCTCTATACCACACCATCTCTGGATAGAGACACTAGAATTAAAGCCTTGTCCCTTTGTTCTGCCTGTGACCTGTCCTCCAAACTAAAGAAAAGTCACCATATTACTGTATGTGTTCAGTCAGTGTAATGTATACAAACCATCTTGCTATTGATTGTAAAACTTTGGGCTATAAACCTTATACTTGTGAGTAAAAGAGCAAGCTGGGGAAAGAGCGTCCTGGGCTGTTTGCCTTTTTTCTAACCTTTTCATGAGGCAGGTTGCAGCTGAGATTCTGCTTTGATAGTATTCCTTCTCCTCTCTACCCCAGGCATCCAGTTCCTTGACAACTCTCATCAATTACTCCTGGATCTGTTTTCTGGGGTGGCCAAGTAGAACTAATTGAATCTCTTTTCCCTGATGACAGGGAATTTCATACCTTTCAGGTATTTGAAGACATCTACCCATATATGGTTCCCCCTTAATTTTCTCTTCCTCAGGCTACATGTTCTTAGCTTTCAGCCTTTCTCTGTGTAACCTGGTATCTAATCCCTTGTCTTCTAGGGGTGGCAGAAGCATATGGATGTTGAGAATGCAGTGCTTCTGGTTAAAGGTCTTGGGAGAGCCATGAGGTCAGTCTGCTCCTCACATGCAGAACTACTAAGTGCATATATGAAGACATAAGAGATAGCTGATGGCTTAGATAGAGTGCTGAAGAGGAGTCAGGAAGACTTGAATTCAGATTCGCCTCAGGCACTTACCAGCTGTATGACTCTGGGCCAGTCACTTCACTGCTATCAGCCTTAGTTTCCTTAATTATAAAATGGGGGAAATAATAGCACTTACCTCCCAGGGTTGTTGTGAGCATTAATTAAGAGATTTGTAAAGTACTTAGCACGATGCCTGTCACTTAGGAGGTGCTTCATAAAGGCTTTTTCCCTTTCCCCCTATGTTGTCATGAAGACCAAATGAAATAATGTGTAAAGTGCTTTTCACACTTTAAAGCATATAGTGTTATTATATATTATATATAGCTATTATTATTATTATTATTATAAAAATTTACAGCATCTATTGAAAAAATCCAGCCTTTTTAACCATCTTGATTTGAGGGCTGATCAATTGTAAATCTTATAAAATTATATATGGAAATCTTACAAAACTCTAATGCAATTTATCCACAAGACTAATTTGAATTCAAAACCATGTTGTTTTTAATCTCTCTATGATGATTCTTTAGAGGCAATGGTGTAGTGGAAAGAACATTTCATATGGAACTAAAAGACTTCCCTTTCAGTTGCTGGTCTGCCATCTGTGTGACCTGGGGCAAGTCACAACCTCTCTGAGCCTCAAATTCCTCATTTGTAAATTTAAATAGTTGTCTTATCTAACACCCAGGTTGTTGTGAGTGAAGTGCTTTCTAAATCTTAAAGTATTATATTAGCATACCTGACCATGATAATAGCTAATATTTAGTCCTTTGCAAAGTACTTTAATACGGTATTTAATTTTGTGAATATTTTATTCACACTATATTATGTATATGTATATGTATATGTATATGTATATGTATATGTATATGTATATGTATATGTATATGTATATGTATATGTATGTGTATATGTATATGCATATGTATAAAATCTCTCCCACTAGCACATGAGTTCCTGAGGACAGGGGCTGTTTTGCTTATTTATGTGCATCAAGTGCTTAGCATAGAGACTGATCCATGCCAGGCGCTTAGTAAATGCTTGTTGATGGATAAAGATGAAGTATGCTGTAGTGAATATGTTGGACTTGGAATATGGAAAACCCAGCTTTGAATCTTGCTTTAGATATTAGCTACAATACTCTGGATAAATCATTTACATTATTCTGGCTTTCGGTTTTCTCATCTATAAAATGAGGAAGTGGGACTCGGTGACCTATAAGGTCCCTTTTTTTTTTCAGGTCCTAATCTATGATCTTAGGATTTATTGATGGGATGCTTATAAAAGAATGTGATGTTTTTAAGTTCTAGCAGAGTTGAGCCAAAGTAGTCAGACAGAAGTGAGAGGTCATCAAAGTGAGTCTTTCTTTTCTTCCTTCCTTCCTTCCTTTCTTCTTTCCTTCCTTTTTACCTACAAAATAACTTTGAAAGTAGCACAAGCAGTTTGCTATTCTGTTTAAAGTCAACATCACTGGGTCAGTATCTGGGTTATTTGGTCTATAAACTAGGGTGTCTGTCTCTCATATGCATAGATATATGTGTATGTATGTGTGTATATATATGTTTCCTGAGAAGCACCTTTTCACCTCGATGCATGTATAATTACTTATTAATATTCACACAAATTTATCAGATATGGAATTACTGTCATGGTCTTCTAAGATTCTGGAAGGCATACAAATATGTTAGAAGACTTAAATATTAGGATTATTCTACCAGAGTTTCCTTTTTGGGGAAGTTCATGGCTGTGGAGTTAATCTTTGGCCAACTTAATGCATAAATTTTGTATTGTTGTTTTGTAGGTAGAGATGTAAAATGAACTCGGACAGCCAGCTACATAGAAGAGAAATCTCTGAGAAATTAGAAAAACTAGAATGAGGGATAGAAGACTGAACCTTGAAAAAGCCCATAGAGGGAATACACTTGAGCCACAAAAAGGTCAAATATGTGGAAGAATCAGAAGAGCATATTTTCACTCCTACAGTCTCCTCAGCTGATTTTGTCATCTCAATTCCTTTAATAAATCTGGTTCATTGTACATTACTCCCCCTGCCATAGTCTGTGATCCATCCATTCAGGCTAGCCTTCTCTCTGTTCCCCACACAGAACATTCCATCTCCTATCTGTGTGCCTTTCCTTGGCCATCCCTCATTCCTGGAATGTGCTTCCTCCCTGTCTCTGTCTCGTGGATCCCTTTATTCCTTTGAGATACAACTAAAGCATCACCTTCAGTGTGAAGTCTTTCCTGCTTTCCCCTACACCCAAATGTTAGTGACCTTCCTCCCAAACTACCTTGCGTCCAACTTCTTTATATGTCTTTATATTTATTCATTTTCTATTTATGCTACATATATATTTATGTATATACTTTTGCCTTTCTGATTAAAATGTAAGCAATTGTTACACTTTTGTCCATGTATCTCTAGAGCCTAGCACATAGCAAGACTAATAAATACTTACTGATTGATAAATTGATGTATATATCTATGTATGTCTTGAATAAGTGTTTTATTATATAGTGTTATAAATTGATCATTTGATATACTCACATCTTACCTCTTGAACCAGATGCAAGCTAGCTCCTTGTGGACAAGGGCAACATTGAATACTTATTTTGATATATTTATAATAATAATAATATTTCAGAGTTTATATCATGCTTTCTAAATTACCAATTTCTTGACCTACATGATGTCATTTAAGCCTCACAACCACTCTCTGAGGTTAGTGCTACAGATATTATTACTGTTTTACAGATAAGGAAACTAAGGCTAAAAGATATAACAAAGGCAATTTATGTTAAAGGTAAGATTTGAACCCATCTCCCTGACTGCAAGTCTAAAATTTAATTACTATGCCATGCTTCTTCATGATCTCATATGGACAAATATTTCACTGAGTGTTATTTGATTCAAGGTCAGCTTTGCTGTTCCTATTTGACAGATGAGGAAGTTGAGGCACAGCTCTTAAGTACAACAGAACCTTGAACTTGGGATCAAGAGCATTGTGTTTAATTTGGCTATGCTGAGAAATGATATTAATATCTGCCTTTGAGATTACCCATATTAAATTAATGTTTCAGAGCACAGGTTGTAGACTATGCAAGAGACAATATGTGCTGTACTAGATGTCCCAAAAGTCTTAGTGTATAAAAATCCATGAATTTATAATGTGTGTATTGTGTGTGTGTATAAATATATATGCATATATGTAAAATATATGTGTATATCTATGTAGATATAGACATAAAGTATAAGTATTCCTCATCCTCTGAACCAAGCAATGTTCACCATAGTTTCTTCCCACTAGCTGCTTATAATGTAAAGTAGCCATGGCAAGAAAATAATACCATATAACAAAAAAGCAATTAGAAAAGAATCACAACATGCCTGAGCCATAAGAGACGTCAGAGACTATCTGGTCCAACTCTCATTTTACAGAGTGCTTAGATGCCAATATGGCCCCCCTAGTAAGTGACAGAGATGAGACCCCAGTTGAGGTCTCTCAAGTGGACATTTAGGTATACTACCTACTTTGTGATGTAATGCTACAAGTCAAACTTTATTATCAAATGAAATAATTTAGGAGGGCTAAATTCCCCATAAGGATCCTCACCCAACTCACCTAAGAAGAAAGTAAGATCATTAATGCTAATAAGCCAGGAAGCCTACTCTTTCACTCTGCATAGTCCTTCCTTATACAATTGGTAACATATAGAATTTTTTTCTTACCCAATCATTACCTGCTCTGTGTAGATGTTAATATTACTAAAGTATTTAAATAGTCAAGTTATTTTACAACAACAGAACTGGCCTTGTAATTAACGTCCAATCAGGTGGAATGAAGAGTAGCCAAGCTTCGTTTGCTACAAAATCTCATTATTGAGCCATTCAAAGCTGTTCTATAGCATCACTTAATACTAAACCCTTTTTAGGAATGAATAAAATTAATGTGGGGAGCCAGATGATCATGATGAAGAAACCGATTATTCTAGATTAAAAGAAAAACTCTCCTATTTTTCCCTTATATGGTTATAGTTAGTGGAATATATACTCAAATGTTGTTTAGTTGTGTTTTTTTCAGCAGTAATAATAATAATTTCCAAAATGCTAACACATTAATGATAATAATAATAATAATAATACTTATTAACATATAGAGATATAGGTTTGTAAAGCACATTACATATATTCATAATGTTCATTTTACAGAGGAGGAAACAGGCAGAGAGATGGTAAGTGGCTTGTCTAGTGTCACCCAGCTAATAAGTATCTGAGGAGGAATGTAAACCCGTGTCTACCTGACCCCAAGTCCACTGCTTTTGGACAATAGGAGTTTAATGGTAAAAGGAAAGTGAAGCAAGAATGGGAGAACAGTGTCCTCCCTATTGCTGCTGGTGCTAAGACTGAGAGTTTTTCAAGTTCACGCTATTTAACCTTCATGATGTGATGTTGGGAGCAGAGGCTATTCCAGATTCAGCATAGAACAGCAACAGAAACAAAAAGAGAAAGGGCAGATGATTCAGATTGACTGCAAGGCTCAAAATGGCAGCAATTACCAGCAGGCACTGCCAACTTTTCTCTTGCTTCAACTCAACTGATATAAACTAAATCTGCTAAGGGCAGATCCAGACACTGGAGGAAAGATAGTCATAGGTCAAATACTAAGGTTTGCAAAGTGCTATACACATACACACACACACACACACATATGTATATATGTGTGTGTGTGTGTGTATGTATGTATGTATGTATGTATATAATCTCATTTGATCCTCACCACAATGCTGTGAGATAGTTGCTATTGTTATATCCATGTTACAGATAAGGAAAATAAGGTAGAGAGAGGTTGAATGACTTGTCCTGGACTCCAGTGCCCAGTAAGTGTCTGAGTCCAGACTTGAACTCTGATTTTCCTGACTCTGAAGTCAGAGTTACCGAGGGTACCTGCTTTTTCCTTTTTTTTAGGAAAGGAAGCACCATTTAGGTAAGGGATACTGACTCATAGATATGTTTTAATAGAGGCCACTGCTAAAAGTATCATAAATATAATATTTGTAAAGATACTTCAGCAAATATACCAGGGGAAGCAGGTCTAAGAAATTTTGGTAGTTTACAGTTGTGCAAATTTATAGAACAACTAATTGCTCAGAAGCAACAGGGGAAAAAGAAACTGCAGAAACTGTGGTTTGATGTTCTTTCCTTGCTTTGTAATTTAAATATTTTAACTGCATCTGGTCAATGCCAGTCTAGATGACTAAGAATCATCTATTACCTCAGCATGTTGACATAAATACTTGGTACTGAATAGACTTTTTAATATCTTCAGACAATCCCTACCTATCGTCTTCACTTAAGGAAGGGGATTGCCGAAATGATCAGCCCATTCAGTGGCTAAGAATCAATTCTTTAAACTTTTTTGGTTAACTATGTCAGCTGGTTGCTTGTATATTTATGTGATTTGCTATTGAACTTCCATCCAAATTCTCCCATTCTGTACTGTACTTATTCAGAGTTGGTATTGTGATACTTTGTCAAATTTTATCAAGAGAGGCCCAGGTTGAAAGTGACTTGGCCAACGTCACAAAGGCATTCATCGTGGAACCATAGTTCAAAGACCAAATTCATTGCTGTTTTCACAACATTATGCTGCCTCATTTAGATGACCCTGAGTTTATCTGCAACATTGATTCAGTGATTCAAATACTAATTTTGATATAATTTGGTGAAATTTCTTAGTCTGAAATGAACTCAGTTGTCTTATTTGAGGAAAAGATGATCAAACTTGTTGCACAGTGCCTGGCATATACTGAGTGTGTAATAATAAATGCTTTTCATTCTGGAGAGTAACAATTGAGAGACCGCATGGTTCAATGGATATGGAGCTGGTCTTAGAGTCAGGAAGACCTAGCTTCAAGCCCTGCCTCCAACACATACTGGCTAAAGAATGTTCTAAAGTGTAAGTTATAAAGTGTTTTACTTCATAGTGTTGTAAATTTTGTATTATTGGTTGGTAGGTAGAGATGTAAAATGAACTTGGTAGAGAGGTCAGAGATGGAGACACAGGTTTGAAAGCCTGATTCTGGGCAAGTATTCATCCTCTTGGTACCACAGAGTTACAGAAAAGTTGTCAATGCTTGTAGGTAGAGTTTCCTCTCTGAGAGTTCCATATTCCAATAAAATCATAGTTTAAGTAAAAAAAAACCAAAAAACATAAGTAATTGTCAGTATTCTGAAAGCAAGGTTTCTACATATATGATGAATACATTGCAAGGCAGGGTTATGGAGCAGTGCTTTAGTCAGATTCTTGGGCTTACAGTATGGTGAAACTTTGGGACCTTTGAAAGCACCTCCTCATGGAGTGGGTGAGCATGCCTGCTGGTACCTTCTTAAGAGGACAAAAAGGCAGTTTTTGATTAAGTTTCAGTGACTCAGGCTGCCTCCAAAAGTGATTGGTTGGCTTGGAAGTTTGGAGAATCCAATCTGATCATAGAAGCCATACATACCTCTTTGTGATGCCTTATAAAGAGTCTTCACTGAGGACCTAAGGTTTCTTTGCACCTTTTTATCTGCCTCTCTGACAGATTTGGAACTCAGGAAGCCTCTAGCTGGCTGCTTTGGAGCAGAAGCCAAGGGACTTGAACATGTTCTCCAATGTAGCCTTTCTTCTTCCCTTTCTAGGCGCAAGTCAGAAATCAGAGACCTTTGAGTTGGTTTTCCTGGCCCAAGAGATGGCAGCAGGTGAAGCAAAGCTGGAAGGTCAAGAGTTCTTTCACAAGCTTTTGTTTGCCTGCCTTATAGGGTCAACCTGTGGTCACTCATGTGACCAGGATAATGGAAAGTCCTTTCTATGGAAGCGCCAGAGGTTTCCCTCTGGAGGAAGTCCAAGTTGGAGGACAGTAACAGCCTTTTAGGCAGAGAAGAGAGATTTCTTAGATATTATGACCCCAGAATCTAGCCTTCTAGCTAGAGAAAAAAGACTTCTTAGTCAGCACTAACCTTAGGGATTGCTTTGTAATACTTCATTCAAAGTGTAAGGATTTGGCCTTCTTTCCATAAAAAGGAGGATTTCCTAAGCAGTGCGACTTTCAGGCACATTGGGGCTCAATAGGAAGAGAGTTACCTGCCCACAAGCTCTAAAGTGTTACCTTTCTTTTTGGAGTCCAAATATTAATATAGCACTACTAGCTTTAGGGGAGGGGGGAGGAGGGGCAAGCAGCAGGATTAGGAGTGGGAGTAATTGGACCTGTGTGAGGCTCTCTGAGAGAGAAGAATTCACTTGGGGAGATTCCAAACAAAAAGATAACATTGAGTAACAAAGACTTTAGGACTGGCAGAAAAGAAGGACTCAGTGAAGAGAGAGGAGAATTATTTTGATAGCTTGTGGGCTATTTATGAGGGTTTTTTTTTACATGTTTTCTGTATTTGTTTAATCAGTTAT